CAGGGTCACTCAAATCTTGCACCCCCTGGGCCAGTGCGCTCTATGTGACTGCCTAAGTATTTAACCCCACTAGAGGCACTTCCTCCACAGTGATCGGGTAAAGCTCAGTCTCGTGAGGTTGCAGCTCATAGGTAACTCAATAATTTCCTGTGAGATGCATATGAATGTGTGTATGACACTCGCTGTACATGCACATCAGTATCCAATGCTCTTTTATGAGAATCATTGGATTGGCCATTGGCTCCAGTGTTGGATGATGTCGTGGGAGGCGGAGAAACTGGCAGTCTTGGTGCTGGAGTATAGGTTAGTAATGGGGGGATAACTAAAACAAATCTGTACATGGGAACTAAAGTGTTGCAAGTCTGTATTCCTAACGCAGTAGTGTTCCCTTAAAAAATCCAGCAAGATCTACATGTGATTTATTACCCTACTCAAGGCAATAGCAGAATACAGATCTAGGGTTTTTAGGGTGGTGGAAAATAAACAATCTTTGAACAGCAGCTTTGGGTTAAAGAACTGCTATTACATTTACAGTCTCTGCAGACCACATTTTGCAAAAGTTTATTAAAATCCTAGACATATTGGGCATTACAACCAAGCAGGACTAATATTCTAAGTTATTTTTCTTTAGTTCCACAATTTTTTTTTTAGTTTTTTTTTAATTTTGATTTTCTTTTAATAGTTTATTCATAATTAATGTTGCATAAATAAAGCTTTTTTTTGTGTGTGTGTAAGTTTTAATACCCGGCATGATTAATTGATCTGTCTGTATGTATGAATTCACTCAGTGAGAGTAAACAAATGTTATAACAAATATGCAAAACTTTCTTCAATCACAAAAACACAGAAACTTGTACAAAACACTCCGCCACTAAAAGAGTGACAATTTTATAGCCATTTCTTGTCCAAAAGACCTTTTTTTCTGCCAATGTTTCCATTTCTTAGATCTGTTTGAGTTATCCGAAGATAAAGCAGGTATTGAAATGCTTATAAATCCTAGTTTATTATTTGTTCACATTATACAGTAACTAAAAAGTAAATGCTCATTATTAATAGAATGAATATTTGTATCCAATATAAAAGGACACCGGATTAAAATTGTACACTTTATCACCATGGATATAATGTTTATCGCCAACAAAATTAGCCAAATGAACATCTGCAAGAATGCATTTGACTGAGCGGATAAATTAATGATGTAAATTTTAATCTGGACGGCTATGTTCCAGGAAAGTCCAGTGACTAAGCAATAATATTTAATAATGATATTTAACCTCTCCACTGACTCCATCTGATCTAAAAAATGTGACTTTAGACACAATTTGAAAACTATACATCCGTCATAAGAGTTTTATGTGTGTGTGCGCCACCGCTAAACTAGAAAACATATTGCAATATATCATTTAAAGCAGGTCCTAGTGTTTACAGTAAATGGTTAAATCATCTTAGTAATTCATAATTCTCTTTAACATATTACATTTCAACCTGTTTGTCTTGGATATTATTGTACTATGACATCTATAAGACTCTCTAGGATTCACTTACAAGGACTGCTAGTATAATCAAGTGTGAGTAATAAAAACATCAATTTAACATTAACCCCTTAACCCGCTTAAGGACCAAACTTCTGGAATAAAAGGGAATCATGACATGTCACACATGTCATATGTCATTAAGGGGTTAAGGAGTGAAGCAATTGGACAAGTTCTGATCAAAGCAAAACATAAGCAAACCGTAGAATGTGAGCTATATCTTTGTTTAACCATAATTTACCTCCTTCATATTAAGTGCACCCACACTTATTATACAGTTGCAAGAAAAAGTATGTGAACCCTTTGGAATGATATGGATTTCTGCACAAATTGGTCATAAAATGTGATCTGATCATCATCTAAGTCACAACAATAGACAATCACAGTCTGCTTAAACTAATAACACACAAAGAATGAAATGTTGCCATGTTTTTATTGAACACACCATGTAAACATTCACAGTGCAGGTGGAAAAAGTATGTGAACCCCTAGACTAATGACATCTCCAAGAGCTAATTGGAGTGAGATGTCAGCCAACTGGAGTCCAATCAATGAGATGAGATTGGAGGTGTTGGTTACAGCTGCCCTGCCCTATAAAAAACACACACTAGTTCTGGGTTTGCTTTTCACAAGAAGCATTGCCTGATGTGAATGATGCCTCGCACAAAAGAGCTCTCAGAAGACCTACGATTAAGAATTGTTGACTTGCATAAAGCTGGAAAGGGTTATAAAAGTATCTCCAAAAGCCTTGCTGTTCATCAGTCCACGGTAAGACAAATTGTCTATAAATGGAGAAAGTTCAGCACTGCTGCTACTCTCCCTAGGAGTGGCCGTCCTGTAAAGATGACTGCAAGAGCACAGCGCAGACTGCTCAATGAGGTGAAGAAGAATCCTAGAGTGTCAGCTAAAGACTTACAAAAGTCACTGGCAAATGCTAACATCCCTGTTAGCGAATCTACAATATGTAAAACACTAAACAAGAATGGATTTCATGGGAGGATACCACAGAGGAAGCCACTGCTGTCCAAACAAAACATTGCTGCACGTTTACAGTTTGCACAAGAGGACCTGGATGTTCCACAGCAGTACTGGCAAAATATTCTGTGGTCAGATGAAACCAAAGTTGAGTTGTTTGGAAGAAACACACAAAACTATGTGTGGCGAAAAAAAGGCACAGCACACCAACATCAAAACCTCATCCCAACTGTGAAGTATTGGTTTGGGGCTGCTTTGCTGCATCAGGGCCTGGACGGATTGCTATCATCGAAGGAAAAATTAATTCCCAAGTTTATCAAGACATTTTTTTTTTTTTAATTCTTTATTTTTGGTCGTGCAGAAGTATACAAGGTAACCCGCAATGCCACAACAGCAATTGCCGGCATACGTCAAAAACACAATGGAATAGTGAAACATGACAACAGCTGTAGTGAGCAATAGTGTTACGTTTCTACTCGAGTAAACAGCACGGTATTTATAATAATGGTTTGGTAGCTAAACTACTCAATTTCAATTGTAGAAATAAAAAATAAGAAAAGAAAAAAGAAAAAGGAAGTAGTCAGCAGAGAGACAAATTGACATAAGATAAGAGTTTGGTTACCCTAACTGACTATACGAGGTAATACTAATAGAGGTCAAGTTACATGCTATGCAAGAAGCGGATCGATCAGTGGCAATAATAGATTTGGAGTTACACGTTGGGCAAACAAGTGAGAGATCATTTTAATTTTAATGGTCCCGCTTCCTACCGGGGTGTGGAGCCCTGTTTGGGCTAAGTAGTAGGCCCGAGAGTAGTACAGAGTGGGGGCCTGTGAGTAGGACAACTGTGGTGTAGGGTAGTTTCATAACAGAGGATCCTTAAGGATCAAGTAACTTGGTATGGTGTCTCAAGCTTTTTAGTGAGGCAGCTCCGCCAACTGTTTATGTGTGGGTCAAGAAGATTGGAGCTGGGGGGGGAGGGTAGGATGGACGTAATTAGGGGAGATAGTTGGGTCTCATTTCGCCCAGTGTCGACCAGTACGGTCGTTCAGCCATATGCAGTATGGGGAGGGGAGTGATTCCTAAGTGTAGCACAACGTTTTAACCATAACTAAGACATAAAAATAAAATGCCGGTAACTTATTAGAAAAAGAGAGGGTACAAGTCCCAACACAGATGATTCCGTTTTCAGGTGGCAGGTGCGCCCTTTGTTCCTCGAGATGCAGGAGTGAACGGAACCACGGTAGCGGGGTTCCAGGTGGGGTTAGTGGGTCGAGGGTCAGGGCTCGGTTTCAGGGAGGACAGGATAGCGTCCATTTCAGATGCCTCCGTGACTCTGTGTTCCACACCATTATGTTGGAAATTCAGCGCACGAGGTGTGCCCCATTGATACTTTATGCCTAGGGATGTAAGCGTGGATGCCAGTGGTCTCAGCGACCTCCGCCACTGCAACGTCGAGCGGGAGAGGTCAGCAAAGAACGTGAGGTCCATTTCTTCAAAGTGATATGGGGTCTTCCCTCTGGTAGCTTGTAAGATGGCTGCTTTGTCTTGCCCGTTTTGAAACTTAACCAGGAGGTCGCCGGTGGTTGGGGCTGTGTTGGACTGAGGCTTGGGTAGACGAAACATTCCATCCAGCTGAATGCCCTTTGCTGTTTTAGGGGGTAGTAATGCCATGAACAGCCTACGTAGGAAGTGTGGCATCTCTGCCATAGTGATGGAGTCCGATAGGCCTCTAATTTTCAGGTGTTTCCACCTCCTCTTATCTTCTAGAATTGCTAGCTGGCTGTCAAAGTTAGCCTGCGCCTTGGTGAGGTCCCTCACCTGCTTCTGCAGGTCTGCTATTTGAGGAGTGTGCTCCTCCACTGCTTGTTCCACCGTGATTAAACGGGCTGTGAATCCCCTGACATCCTCCCGTACTTGGGAGATATCTGCAGAGAGACTTTGTCGGAGGTCAGCCAAAAGTTTAGTGAGGATGGCTGTGGTTAGTGGGATTGAGCTGCTGTCCACCTCCGGAGATGGCCTGGGGGGTCCCTGGAAGCCAGGGGCTGCTGGGTTGTGCGGGGTGTACTCTTCTGAGACGTCGGAGGAATCGTCCAGTACGTCCGCCATTTCCAGCCCGCTTGCACAGTGCGGCCTTCTAAAGAGTTCACTGATATCGGCCATGTTCCCGGGCCGGTCCGGCCTCGGTTTTTTATTCTTCCGCCCCATCTGCTTACCGACACAGTTAGCTATGTCCAGGGCAAATTGGGCTCCAGAAAGGTACCCTTTTCAGGTTTTGATAAGCTTTTCCGACGGAGCTCCGCGGACATGCGACCGCTCCGATCGTGAGTTAGCTCCCTTATCAAGACATTTTACAGGAGAACTTAAGGCCATCTGTCTACCAGTTGAAGCTCAACAGAAGATGCGTATTGCAACAGGACAATGACCCAAAGCATAGAAGTAAATCAACAACAGAATGGCTTAAACAGAAGAAAATACGCCTTCTGAAGTGGCCCAGTCAGAGTCCTGACCTCAACCCGATTTGAGATGCTGTGGCCTGACCTCAAGAAAGCGATTCACACCAGACATCCCAAGAATATTGCTGAACTGAAACCGTTCTGTAAAGAGGAATGGTCAAGAATTACTCCTGACCGTTGTGCACGTCTGATCTGCAACTACAGGAAACGTTTGGTTGAAGCTATTGCTGCCAAAGGAGGTTCAACCAGTTATTAAATCCAAGGGTTCACATACTTTTTCCACCTGCACTGTGAATGTTTACATGGTGTGTTCAATAAAAACATGGCAACATTTCATTCTTTGTGTGTTATTAGTTTAAGCAGACTGTGATTGTCTATGGTTGTGACTTAGATGATGATCAGATCACATTTTATGACCAATTTGTGCAGAAATCCATATCATTCCAAAAGGTTCACATACTTTTTCTTGCAACTGTATATAATTTTTTTCAGAAGAAACAAGGCTTTCATTTAACATGAAATAATTATATATAAAACCCAATTTAATATGAATACAATCTAAAACAAAAGTGTGAATATTAAGGAATTTTGTTCTGGTATTTTATCTGTGAATGTCATAATAGTTATCGTTTACTGCAATAAAACACATATCTGTCTGCTGTGATGTCTCCCAAGTACATAATGCCCCCTATGCACAGGTCTCATGGTGTTTGGGAAAGTTACAGGGTCAAATAAAGAGCTTGCAATTTTTTTTTTAAAACCACTGAAATTTACCAGATTCGTTGGCTGGGCCTATGTTGCCTTTGACACCATTTGACAGTCCAGAAATGAAAATTATCCTGTCATAGCATACCATTTATAAAAGTAGACAACCCAGAGTAGTCAAAATTGAGTATGTTTAGTCTTTTTTAGTAGCCACTTAATTGCAAATCCTGGCCAAATGTTCATTTTTAAGTAATTGTTCATGTTTGTTTTTTTCATTTATCACACAAAAACATCAAAACAGTGTGTAAGGCATGAGGGAATTGAGTTTAGACTAAGAGTGAAAGGAGCACCAAACCAGTTACCTGCCTAGGGCCCCATTTGATCTCTAGTTAAATTTGAGTAGGATCAGCAAATAGATGGTATTGAAATCCACCCCCCAAAAATTATTATTTTACCAAGAGAGGCAAATCTTGTACTAAACCAAATATACCAGATTCCAACACCAATATACCAGCAGAAAAATATGTGCAAAGGGAAGACGTAATTACCCTTTGATACCCTTTTCATGTATGTCAAAAAGACTCCTCCAGATCTTCACATCTATACATATATCCAAACACACACAGATCTACAGGGAAATATCGAAACTATTGCAGCAGCAGCAGCATTGTCTATACACCACTCTGTGCTTATGTGTAATGCACTTACAAAATAATCATTGATTGAAGGTGTATCACCAACTAAGGGTATTTGATCTTCTCTTTCACTCTGATGGTTTCATGCATATAGGAATAGAAGAAAAAACACATAGTGCAGATCTCTATACACTAGATTTTTTTTAATTTTATTTTAAATCTTTATTTTTGCAATGGCAGATCGTATTGTAAAGTAACATTGTTAGGCTTGTGCAAAAGCCATATGATAGTACATATATCAATTATGCGTTACAGAAAGGAAAAGAAAGTTGAGTTAGTTTGTCGAGGGTTTTCTTCCTGTTGTGTTGGTTGACCTCTGCCAGAGTTTCATTTTTTATAATTAAAGAAGAATAAAAACAGAAAACAAATAACCTTAGGAGATGTTGCGTTTAACATGTTATGTAGGAGTGGGATTGTGGTTGGTGCAGTGTTATTCAGGAGGTTTGTTAGTGTGTTTTTGTCGTGGGATGTGATGTGTATGTGGGGTGTGATCCGCATCCGTGTGAGTTGGGTTGGTAGAGATCCATGTGGAGCAATGAAAGAGTGATTGTATAGTTAGCGTTACATGTCATAATGACCAGGCCCGGACTGGCCATCGGGCATACCGGGCAAATGCCCGGTGGGCCGCGATGGCCATGGGGCCGAGGCCGGCAGGGGATCTCCCCGGCCAGCCCCTGCAGGGCCAGCGCTATCCGAGCGCCGGCCCCGTTGTGTGCCTCCATGGGCCGGTGGGGAGATCAAAGATCTACCTCACCGGCCCAGAGGCAGGGAGATGCGGCCGCCGGCTGGGGAGGGAGAGAGGGAGGAGAGAGGACCCGGCGGAGCTCTAACAAGCAGCTCCGCCGGGTCCTCTCGCGGGATTCTGAGCGTTGCCGCGGCAATGCTCAGATCTCGCGAGAGTGAACTCTCACCACTGGACCACCAGGGAAGGATGGCAGCACGGTTCCCCACCCCCCAGGCAGAACGGATCTCCTCCTCCCCCCCTCCCAGGATAAAGGTAAGAAGGGAGGGGGGGAAATAATTATTTTATTTTTTTTATTAGTAAAAAATATATTTAAATTTAAATAAAAAATACATTCACACACAGCACCCCCCAGACACACACAGCGCACCCAGACACACACAGCGCACCCAGACACACACAGCACCCAGACACACACAGCACCCCGAGACACACACAGCACCCCCAGACACACACTGCACCCCCAGACACACACAGCGCACCCAGACACACACCACACACAGCGCACCCAGACACACACTGCACCCAGACACACACGCACCCCCAGACACACACTGCACCCCCAGACACACACAGACCCACACAGCACCCACCTAGACACATACAGCACACTCCCACACATATACAGCACACACATATATATATATATATATATATATATAAAATAACCCTCAGTGAGTTAACAGACAAAGAAAATTAGAAACCTAGAATGTGACAGCAGATAAAAACACCCTCACATACAGCACCCCTCTTACATACACACACTGCGCCCCTCACACATACAATAAGTCCAAATATATATATATATATATATACACACACACACACACACACACTACAGCACCCCTCACACTGCACCACTACACACATTACGCTCCAGATACACACTAGATCCCTTACCCTATATGCACTCTTAATCCTCTACACACACACACACACTGGGTCCTTTACACAGTAGATCTCCTACACACACACACTACATTCCTTGTCAGCAAACACATACAACATTCTCTAAACACACCCTCTCTGCAACCCCTACACACACTACGTCACCTATACACACACACTTCAGCCCGTATGCACACACTCGCTGCATCCCCTATAAAACTATGCCCCCTATACACACACTCTCTACAGCCCCTAGCCACACATATTACACCACAAACACAAATTAAATTGACCTATTTATACAATACCACACCACACTACACACACGCAATCCCACAAGCAGGCTCCAAACATATGCACCATGCACTTTCCTGGCCCTTTTGTCCTCTGGTATCCCACTTGTGGAGACACCAGAGACAATTTAAAAGCAAACACAGCGCAAGCATGTTATTAAATTTGCTTGTCCTGCGCAGAACAAATTCATGGCCTTTTTCTAATGCCAGAGCTCTTCACCAGGGCTCTGGGCATTGAACCAACATGCTCACTTTGAGAGGGGGCGTGCTTGTCATTAGTGATGACAAAACACACACTCTCTGGCCCCGCCCCCTTCTTAGGGGGCCGCTCTGATTGAAAAATGCCCGGGCCTAATTTTTTTCCCAGTCCGGCCCTGATAATGACATTTTGTATTGGGTGTCATAAGCATTTAACTGTTTTTTTTTTTTTTTTTTAATATCGTTTTATTAAAGTGTTTGCGAGGTGAACAATTCGCAGTGAGGTTATGAGCAGTGCGAAACACGCAGGTTTCAATCAGTTAGAATCTCGTTTGCGGTCTTGAGATGCGCAGATCTCTGAGGGTGCAAAAGTGGTTGAGACTCGCAGGTCTCCTGACACAATAAATTTCTATTTACGATATTCACTTAGCATGTTGTAGATTGATTAATTACAGTCTGTCAGGTGCGTTAGCTATGGTCCTGTGGTTTGAGATCGCTCACTCTGCGTTATGATATTATTTGTTGTTATAGGTCTTGTCGTTCGCTTGTCCTTGCAGGTTGTAAGCGTCTCTCAGTCTTTAATGTCGTTCGTCTGTAATGTGTCTAGAGTGTGGATGATGGGATGGGTGGGGGGTGGTCGGTGAGCATGTCGTGTCTTTCAGTCACCTTCTTCCCGCCTGTATCTTCTATAGCCCCGTCTCACGATGCCTATTGGCATGAGTGTGGGGTTGTGGGGGGGTGTCCTTGCGTCTTAGTGTAGTCCTGTTTAGGGTTTGATCCCTAGTGTCAGTGTGTCTGTTAGTTCGTTTGATAAGTTCCCCTCTCAGTCTCCTCCATCCTCTATATGCATTAATGTTTCAGTGTCGCTGGGGTGGGTGCAGTGTGTTGTTTCCTCCCAGCGTGGCTCCCCCAACCTCTGGTTCTTGTTTAGCGTGCCCCCTGGCCGTGTAGATTTCATTTGTAACTAGTGTGATTCTGCCACTCAGGGGTCCTAGTGTGATTCCCCGGGTACTGGGCTCATCCGCAGGGGCTCTGAGGCAGGGTGGGGGTGTGGGAGGGCTGGAGGGGGGGGGGTTTACTTGGGTTTTGGGACGTCATGCGTATCTCGGTTCCCTATGTGTCTTGTCTCCCTCCTTCCCTTGTCGGTGTTTGTGTTAGGTACACATACCAGGATCCCCACATTTCCGCGTGTTTGCCGCTTCTTCCCAGTAAGTCAGCGTATTTTGCTTCTGCTGCGTGGATTTCTTCTACTCTTTGAAGCCATTGCGTGATTGTGGGTGAGTGGGTGCTTTTCCACAGTGTCGGAATCAAGGATTTGGCTGCATTCAGCAGGTGTCTCAGGATAGATTTCTTGTAGAGTGAGAGTGGTTTTTCCGTGAAGTGAATCAGTGCGGCTTCAATGCTTAGGTCTGGCATATCTCCTAGGATCTTGACCAGTTCTTGTTGGATCTCTTCCCAGAATGGTTTTATTATGGCACAGTCCCACCAGATGTGTCTCACTGTTCCTGATTGAGTTCCGCATCTCCAGCAGGTGTCTGGCGTCCCCAGGAATATTCTATGTAGTAGCGAGGGTGTTCGGTACCAGTGTGAGATCAATTTAAAGTTGACTTCTTGGTATCGTGAACTGATCGAGCTCTTGTGCTGAAGTATGAGTATTTGCTCCCATTGGGCATCTGTGTATGTTCTGTCTGTGAGGTCCTCCCATCGCCTTTTGAAGGCTATGTTCCGAACTCGGTCTCCCAGTATAATCCGTTGGTATAGTATGGATACTCTCCCATCCGCTTCTGGTTCATTCACACACAGGTTTTCGAACCACGTGGTGTCTCTGTGTACTGCCAATCTGTGTGGCAGATTGTAGTAAAAATGTCGTAGTTGCATGTATCGAAACCTGTGCATGAGTGTGGGGGTGTCGGTTCCGGTCCATTCACGTATGTTCTTCAGTCCTGCGTTGGTTAGCGCCTCCTTCAGGGGTAAATAGTCATCGCCCTCTGTTGTTAGCCATGCACTCCTCGGGAGGCTGTCTCCTAGGTCGATGTTATATGTTAGTGGGATCAGTGGGCTCGGTTGGGGGGATATATATGTTTCTTTTCTCATTATGGCCCATGTTTTCAGCGTCTGTTCTATGGGCGAGGTCTTGTCGATATTTGGGGTTGCCCTCTGGGTGTGATGCCACACCTGTGAGTGTAGGGTTTTGTTTGTGCTTTCCCTATCTAGTGCCGCCCAGCGTTTGTGTTGATGGGCCGTGTGCCAGTCTCTTATCCGTTGTAGGGTAGATGCGTAGTAGTATTTGCGGAAGTCTGGCAGTGCTAAGCCGCCCCACGCCTTGGGTAGGCATATTTTATCATGGCTAAGCCTCACTCGGTTCCCCTTCCAGACATATCTGCTAACCGCTGTCCTCAGAGTTGCGAAGAATTCCGGTGGTAGGTGCCAGGGTATGGTGTTGAAGTAATAGAGGAGTCTCGGTAGGATGTTCATCTTTACTACTGCTATGCGACCATGCCATGAGATGCAATCGTAATTCCAGGTTGTCAGGTCTTTCTGTATTTGATTGAGGAGTGGAGCGTAGTTCCGTGCGTAGGTTTCCGTTGGGTTGCTGGAAATCCAGATTCCCAGGTATCTCATCTGGTCTTCGCAGCTATGAAAGGGGTATGCTCTTTTGACGTGGTCCCAGTCAGGTGTTTGGGCTGAGATTTGTATTGTTTCGCATTTCGTGTGGTTTAGTTTAAGCCCGGATACTCGGCCGTAGCTATCGAACTCATCCATCAGTGCCGGTAACGTGTGTCTCGGGTCATCTATAAAGAAGAGCATATCGTCTGCATAAGCCGCAACTTTATGTTCCTGATCTTTATATTGGAATCCACGTATGGTTGGTGTTCGTCTGATCCTGTCTAGGAACGGTTCCAGTGTTAGGGCAAATAGGAGCGGGGATAATGGGCAGCCTTGCCTGGTGCCGTTGCTAATTAGGAATCCATCCGTGAGTGCTCCGTTGATTCGGATCCGCGCATTGGGGTTGCAGTAAAGTGTGTCTATCCACGCGAGCATCCCTCTCCCTAGTCCAGCTTTGTTGAGCGTCGCCATCATGAATTGCCATCTCACTCGGTCGAACGCTTTTTCGGCGTCCGTGGAGAGCATTAGCAGATTCTTATTTTCTCTACGAGCCAGGTGTTGGATGGTAAACGCTCTCAGAGTGCAGTCCCTAGCTTCTCTTCCTGGTATGAAGCCCGTTTGGTCCGGGTGTATCAGCCTGGGCATGTAGGGTTGGAGTCTGGTTGCTAGGATCTTGGAGAATAGTTTGACATCCGCGTTGAGGAGTGAGATAGGACGGTAGTTCCCGCAGTTTTCTGGGTTCTTGCCCGGTTTTGGTATGACCGTGATGGTGGCTGCCATTGTTTCGGGGTGGAATCTGCCTCCGTCTTGGAGTTGGTTTAGTGCGGCGGTTAGGTGTGGGATCAGGGTATCGCCAAATTTTTTGTAATAGCCTATTGAGAAGCCGTCTGGTCCCGGTGCTTTGCCATTTTTTGCGGCCTTGATTGCTGTCCGTACTTCATCTTCTGAGATCGGAGCTTCTAGGGATTCCGCTTCTTCGTACGAGAGCGCGTCGGGTTGGAATTCTTGTAGATATTGTTCTACCTGCCTGTTTTCTTCGCTTTGTCGTGTTTCCGTGTGGTTTGCGTGTATGTTATATAGTTTTGTATAATAGGAGCGGAATTCGTTAGCAATTTCTTCCGGGAACTGTGTGAGGTGTCCGTTTGAAGTCCGTATCGCCTGTACCTGTGCTCTCGCTTGTTGGCCTCGGATCAGACGGGCTAGCATTTTGCCACCTTTGTTGGCGTGTAGGTAGTAGAAGGCTTTAGAGCGTTGTATTGCTCTATGGTGTTTACGGTCAATGAGCTCCGTAAGTTGTCTACGCGCTGTCAGGAGTTCCCCGTAGTGTGTTTCCATCTGGCTGCGCTTGTGGAGGGTTTCGAGGTTCGCTATTTGGGCCGTGAGGTCCGCCATTGCTTGTTGGTTTTCTCGCTTTTTGCGTGACGCAATCCGAATAAGGTGTCCCCTGAGGACGCTCTTGTGCGCCTCCCAAAGTGTTATGTTCGACATATCTTCCGTGGTATTTTCTGCAAAGTATTGGTTCAGGTGTTCTGCTATTTGCGTTCGGATCGGTATATCCAGTAGGAGCGATTCGTTTATCCTCCACGTCTTTTGGGTGGGTCTGAAGAGAGGGGAGTCGAGGTGTATAGATGATTCGCTGTGGTCTGCCCACGGGGTGGGTCTGATCGCAGCCTTTTTCAGGAAAGTGAGGCCTTCTTGTTGTATGAAGATGTAATCTATACGTGAATATCGACTATGGAGGGGCGAGTAGTAGGTATAGTCGCGGTCATCTGGATGGAGTGTGCGCCAGGTGTCTACCAATCTCAAGTCCTGGAGTGTCTTGCGAATCCTTCTGATCGCTGCCTGTGCTATGGAGCTGTGTCCCGTGGATGAGTCAGAGAGAGGTTCCAAGGTTATGTTAAAATCTCCTCCAAGCACTAGGATGCCTTCCGTGAATGCGGCTAGTTTTAAGAGTGTTCTGCAGAGGAATTTGGCTTGGTTCTTATTCGGGGCGTATACCGAGGCCAACGTGTATGTTTTCTGGGATATCATTCCCTTCACAAAGAGGAATCTGCCTTTTGGGTCTACGACCGTTTCGGAGTGTGTGAACTGTAGATTGGTGTTTAAGAGGATCGAGACACCTGCTTTCCGGGCTGTCGGATGATTACTGTGGAAGGTGGTATGGTAGTGCTTGTTTCGTAGTCTGTGGTTATCCACGTCCCTGAGGTGCGTTTCTTGTAGTAGGGCGATAGATACTTGGCGACGTTTGAGGTCCTGCAGTAAGTGTGCTCTTTTTTCGGGTGCGTTCAAGCCCCGGCAATTTTGTGTAATGATATGGAAGGGTGCGGCTGAATATGTCATCCTGTAGGGATGGGCCAGTATCTACCGTGTGTGTGTGGATAGGGTCCTATGGGGTTAGCTTCCGAGTTCTGTGTACTCTATCCGGGTCAGTATGCACTTATTGGAGGGGGGGTATTTCAGTCGGGGGGGAGAATCAACCGGGTGTGGCTCCCTGCTCTCTGCGGGTGGTAGCTGTGTCAAAGGTCGGGTGTCGTGAGTAGGGAGTGGGACGGTGTGGCGGTCGAGTAATGAGGTGAGTCAGTGGGTATAGATGAAGGGGTGGCTGCCCCAGAGCCCCTGCGACTTGGCCTCCTGCCTGCTTCCACTGGGTGTTGGCTGGCCAAGGGATTCTCCTGGTAAGCTTTTTAAAGGGGCCTTGCTGTTTGCAAGTGTATTTACTGGTGTCTAGTGGTGGTTTGGGTGTTCTCAGTGAATGATGAGTACCTGTGTAACTGGGTTGGTTAACAAAGCCAAATCGCCACTTAGTGTATACTAGGGCGTCAGGGCAGTGTTCCCCCCAGTAGTCTATGTATACACAGGATTGAGTTGGGGTCGCGGCCTCCTAACCGTTTACGTTTTCCACTTAATATGTGGTGAGTTGGTTGTGGTATATAATGTGGTCTGGTTTCGTCAGCCGTCCTGGGTCTCCCGTCTCGTTTGCATTCGGTTGTATTTGTTACGCTAAGTCGCTACATAAGTCTGGTCTTGATTTGGGTGGTATGAGTTCTCCTCTCGTGTGCTCCCTGGGCTCCCCCCAGACTTCCCAGGTGTGGTCCCGTGGCGTCATGTTCTTGTGGTCACATGGGCGTTTGTGGTGGGTATATGGCTGAAGTGGCCCGTCATCCTCGTCTGCTACGTTCGGGTGATCCCGTGAGCCAAGTCCTGACCAGTTGGTGGCAATGCTTCTCGTGAAGGGGGAGGGTACACGGGGGGGGAGGGTGGTATAGGTCTTCTATAAAATCTGTCATTTAGGAATTCTGCGGTGTATGGGGGTTGCCATTATGGGTATTGTTTCGAGCCCCCTGCCACCGCCAGTTCCGTAATCGCTGCGGCCTACCTTCTACCTACGGCATCTCCTGTCGTCTAATGCTGGGTTTTGTAGCTACCAATTTCTCCCCCCGTCCAGTTCCGTCCCATCTATGTCTAATCGGGGCCTCCCCATTGACCTGTTTACGTGGTGACTCATCCCATCCCGGTCTCTTACTCAGACGATATGGGCGTCTCTATAGCTCTATTACGCAGGTCTTTCGTGTTTAGGTAGGTTGTCACACGGGGCAGGCGTCTAGCGTCAAGGTTTGAGTTGTGGTCATGTCATCGGGGGGGTGGGCCCAGCCTGCTGTGTGCTTGCCTTGTCAGAACGTGGTTCACCCTGTAATCAGTGCGTGGGTCTTAGGCAATTTACTGAGTCTAACATGCAACATTTGGGAACCTTATAACATTAAAACATTAGAACATTAAAACATTTTCCCCTTTGTGCCTCTCATTGTGCTTGTCCGCCTGTTCGGATATAGGTAATGACCCAGAGCAGTGTCCCACCTCCATCCCTGCATCCCCTCCACCCTAAATGTAGTGTTATCCCGGTAGCCCCATATTAAGTGCGGTATTCCCCGACATTTAGTCTCAGGTTCCGTATGTGCGCGGCAAATAGCGTAGTACTTATCTGGGTACTGGGGATCACTTCCTGCCTCCGGTGTCGGTATAGTCTGCAATCTCATGGGGCCCGCAGCAGTCTATCTCGTGAGGAGGGTGGGGGGGTCATCCTAGTTGGGGTGGGTGTGCTCCTCTGCTGTTATTCTTCCGGTTCTGCAGGATCCAGTTGTCTGCGTGCTGTTGGCCGCCTCGGTGAGTCCCCTCTGCGGCGGCGCTGAGGTCTTGGTGTTGGAGGTCTTGGCCGTGGCTCTAGCGGTCCGAGGACCCAGTCCGTTATCTCCGTGGGCGGTAGTTCCAGGCGGTGTAGAAATCCCGGGCTTTCCTCCGGCCAGCGTAGGGGTATCCATTCGTTCTGGTGTCTTGCGAGTAGGGCAAAGGGGAATCCCCACTTGTAGGGGATATTTCTCTCTCTGAGGAGGGTTGTGACGGGACGTAGGGCCCTGCGCGCTTCTAGCGTGAGCGGTGACAGATCTTGGAACAAGGCCACATCAGCTCCACGGAATCTCCATAGCGGTCTCGTGCGGGCTTTCTGCATTATTCGTTCCTTGTGCTTATAGTGGTGGAGGCAGCATATGGCGTCTCGTGGTGTGCCATCCGGTATCCTGGGCCTGTTTGCCCTGTGAGCCCTGTCAAACGTTAGGTCAGCAGGTAAGTCTTCCCCTAAGATGGTCTGGAAGAGGGCCTTCAGCGTGGCCTCAATATCTTCATCCGCCTGCGGTTCGGGTAGGCCGCGCACTCGGATGTTTGATCGGCGGCCTCTATTGTCCAGATCTTCTGTTTGCCGTCGTAGGGCTAGTAACATATTTCCCTGTCTGGTGACCGCTGTGGTTGTGGTTCCCGTCCTCCCCATAGTCTCCTGCATATTCCCCTCTAGTGTTTGGAGCCTGCCGTTGTGTGTAGTCATTTCAGCCCTCAGGGCTGTTACCTCTAGGCGGATCGCCGCGTGCAGGTCATCTGATAGCGTTTGGAGGTCCGTTTTCGTGACCATTTGGGCTGCCAGCGCTCTGATATCCGCGCTGATATCTGTTAGTGTGGGACCGGCTGTCTCTGGGGGTAGCACGTGGTGCGGCGAGTCGGCCATTGTTGCGCCCGCCTGCTCGCGGGATGCGGCTGCCGGAGTCTGCAGGTATTCATCCATGGGGCCTGCCTGGGAGCCTGTAGGGTTGCTCCGGGGTGTTTGGGAGCCGTCCGGGCGCTTCGTGCGTCCCATTTCCGACCCTCTCTGCTTAGTTAGCGTGCTGTGTGTAGCTGTGGGAGACGGAGCTCTCAGTTTAGGCTGCCATTCTCCTCGGTGTCCAGGCCACGCCCCGCATTTAACTGTTTTAGTACATTTAATAAGGTTGCTCTAGGTATGTTTATCTTATAATCGGATGCACTTTGTATCCACGTTGCTTTGATTGTTCTGCAACCCCTGGGTCTATATAGGTTTGCCTTTCCTCCCTCCCTCTCTCCCTCCCTTCAGGATTTTTCAAGGTCAATAACTATTTACAATTACCAGTCCACTGGACATCCCCCCCCCCCAGGAGCCGTATATAGATTTATGGATGATTAGCACTGGGTAGCACACCCAATGGATCCCTTCCCGCCACCACCTCGGCTGAGAACCATGCCGTGTACTCCAAAGTTGCTCTAATTCTAGATTGAAAGGAGGTGTCTAGCGTAGAAATATACCATTTCCATGTGAGGAAATTTTTTTTACCAGAAGTTCCTTGTTGGTTAGAGTATGAAGCCAATCCATTTTAGGAACTTGAGTTTGGTTAAGAATAAAGTGATTGATGGACTGCCCGGCTGGTTCCAAACCTGAAGAATGGTTTTGTGGCCCACCGCTGCTATAATCATAGAGAAGCGTCTATTAGGTATGGGGTCCCAACAATAGAAAACTGGGATTTAATGGTATGGGCGTCATGTTGTTGTTCGTTAATTATTGAGTAACCTCTCTCCAGAAAGTCTGGATCATGGGACACTCCCAAAGACAGTAATACATATCTGCTTTGGTGTGGGTGCATTTAAAGCAGGTAGAGGAGTCCTTCCTTGCCATGAGGTGTAGTCTATGTGGCGTGAAATATGCATAGTGTGTGGTTTTCAGGAACATATCTCGATATGAAACCATGGGGAGCAGTTGACTTTGAGTGTAATGTGAGTTTAGGATGTTCTTAGGTGTGATGTCAGGGAAATGAGTCTTCCATTTCCCCAGACCTGTCTGTAATGTGTTCCAATTGGGTGTGTATCGTAGAAGGGCAAAGAGGGTAGAGATGGAGTAAAATGCTGGGTTTGTGGTGCATAAAAGACGATCCAGAGAGTTACTCCAGTCGGAGGGCGTGAGGCGTTGACTTATGTTGTAAAAATAATGTTGTACTTGAAAGTATGCGAACCAGGGTATGGGAAGGTCCGGGAAGCACCCCATGGTGAGAAAATCTGTTTGTGTCAAAATCTACAATGGAACTCAGAGACCCGAGGCCCTGCCCTGACTACATCGTGAATGGGTATGTGTTGGATCCATCCTGGAACCCGTGGTTCCGGAGCAGGGGTAGATGTATGGAGCATAGCATATGGTTTGCCCCAATGCTGGTCCGAGCCATCTTCCAGGCCTTAATCGTGACGGCCAAGAGAGGATTTGAGAGAATCTCATCCGAAAGTATGCTGTGTGGTTTGTGTAGGAGTACTGTCAGGTAATGTGCTTGCGCCAGAAAGGATTCCAGAGCTAGGTCTGAGTATCGTGACTGCGACTGGATCCAATCGGGCGAATGCTGGAGTTGGGCCACCATACTGTATTCACTGGCGTTTGGGAGATTAAGTCCTCCGTTGCATTTGGTTTGGTGAAGTTTAGTTAGGCTCAGCCTGGCCCTCGATCCCTGCCAGAGAAAGTGCCTCAGTTTTTTATTTAGAAGACATTCATCTTTTTTGGAGAGTAAGACTGTGAGTACTTGAAGCGGGTATAGTAGCTTTGGGAAACTAGTTTATAGAGATTGGCCCGTCCTATGTAGGAGAGTGGCAATTTGTGCCAGTGTTCCAATTCATTTAAAATGAAGGAGGAATGTTTAGTTTGTACAGTTGGCCTAAGTTTCTTGGGATCTTGATCCCTAGATATTGTAAGGCCGAGGTTTGCCAGTTCAGTGGGACCCCCCTCGGTAACCTAGGAGGTGATCCCCTCCCCAGATGTAGCGCACTGGATTTTGACCAGTTAACTTTAAGTCCTGCCAGGGCATGGAATTTGTCAAGTAGGTCAAGGGTGGTGCTGGACACCCGTGACCATCTGTCTTCCCACCACGAACCCCAGTTGGTGACCCGTGAGGGCCCTGGGTAAAAATGATTGAACTCTTGAGGCTATGATCTTAGTGAGAATTTTGAGGTCCAAATTGAGCAACGATATAGGACGATAAGACGCCAAATCCTCCGTATCCCTGCCTGGTTTCTGTATTAGCACAGTACGTGTTTGGTTAAGGGAGTCTTTTGAGAGTCCTCTCAGATAGATTTGGTCAAAAAGGGCTTTAAGGGTGGGGCTGATCTGATGTTTTAGAGTTTTGTAATATTCAGCGGTATAGCCATCCGGGACTGGGGCTTTACCCGATTAAAGAGAAGCTATAGCTATATGAATTTCTTTTTCAGTGGTGGGGGAGCTAAGTAGTTCCCGGGAGTCCTCGTCTATGTGGGGTAGGTTCAGATTTTTTAAGAAAGCCATACCCTGAGCATGTTGATCAGTCGGGGCTGTCAATATTTTTTTGAAGTAGTCATGAAAGGCTTTATTAATTGCTGCGTGAGCGGTGGACCGGACTCCCTCCGGTGAATTGATTGCCGTTCTTGGTTTGAACCTGGTTTTAGGGTTGGCCATGCGGGCCAACAACCACCCGGATCACCCCCCCATCTGAAGAAGTGTTGTGTCTGGAAGTCTAATTTTGATTGGGCGTAGTTAGTGATGTAAGTGTCTAGGGTGGATTTAACGTCAAGGTAGGTTTGTTTATGTCAGATGGATTAGCTAAATACCTTGTATGAGCTTGTTTGAGATCTGCCTCTAGGACTGCGTAGTACACTAGATATTTTACTAAAGTTATGTGAACCATGAGCATTTAGTCGGCTAAGTTCAGAGTTCCTCAGGGGTTTTAAATTGTAAGTCAAAAACACAGAGAAACTTCGGCCCGAACATTCTTTTAAACTTGTAGTCCCACCTGGGATTTCGTGATAGGCCAATCGTCTACAAGCAAAACCATATTCACATGTAACTCCTCTTTCCTCGATCGCTTACATACATATACCTCACTTTTGCTATTAGGTTGGCATTACTTTATTATTACTCGTATTTAAGGCGTTAGAAAGATTCCCTATACCTGCTATGTTTGGCTGACTACGGTGATTCTGGTAACATACGCATCCTGTCTTCTTTACCGATATTTATGAAATGCCTATTTTTATCATTTGTATTGTAAGTGCAATTTTTATTATAATGTCTAGTGTTTGAAGATCTTCACTAGGTTCTTCTTTCAGTATGCATACCACCATCTGAGGTAGAGAGATCTAATACCCTTAATGGGTGATACACCTTCAATCCTACATTGGCTTCCTGTAAGATATAGGGCTCAATTTAAAATTCTGGTTCTTGCTTTTCAACTCTCTACATGATGCTGCTCCCACTTATCTATCCTCCCAAATACGCAAGTATGTCCCGTCTAGGCCTTTACGCTCTGCTGAAGATTTATGTCTATCTTCTGTCCATACGCCCACCTCTGATCGTTCCTGTGGAACTCACTTCCCTCCTCCGTTAGATGCTCACCCAGTCTCCACTCCTTCAAAATATCATTAAAACCCACTTCTTCATAAAAGCGTATCAATTAAACTGTTAATAGCTCTCGACTGATTCCTCTCTTGCAACTGTCATTAGTCTAATACTGTCCTTACCGTTTGTGTCACTTTACCCCACTCCCTCTAGCATGTAAGCTCATTGAGCAGGGCCCTCAACCCCTCTGTTCCTGTGTGTCCAACTTGTCTGGTTACAACTACATGTCTGTTCGCCCACCCATTGTAAAGCTCTGCAGAATTTGTTGGCGCTATATAAATAATAACATAATAATAATAATCAATGGTTACTTTGTGAGTGCATTAAACATAAGCACTTTACGGTGAACAGACAATGCTACTCTATATATTTTCTGTATCTCCCTGTAGATTCTTTGTGTGTTTTTACATACCAAGAGAGGTAGTGTACATAGACAATAGAAGAGGACCAAGAACAACTGAGGGAACAGACATATGGCAGGAATATATATATATATATATATATATTTTAATTCTTTATTTTTATTGTGCATTGAGTGAAAAAAAAAAACCATACAGGTTCGTGGTGCCTCAATAGCATTCCTCGAGCATATCAACAAGCATAACAATTGGAGCATTAAGATTATCGGTCCTTTTTTTTTTTTAACGTTAGAGTAATGCTGAGTAGGTCAGCAGATCATCAAATGTAAGTCACAATAGCATGAGTTGTGGTTACAAGAAATTAAGTAAGGTGACTGATTTAGGTTTAGTAGCATGCGGTATGGTACATCATTATAACAAGCGGAACATACAATCAGTTCAGCGACAAGCGTAAGAGAGGAGTAATGGGGCTTAGTGGCCCTTGTATGCCAGGCGAAAGACTTAGATGGGAGCTATGGACATGCTCAATAATCAGTAGTAGGTTGTAGTCAGGGGCACATTAAAATGTCCTCATATTAAGCAACTTCACAACCCGCCATCGTGATCATGCTAGTGTTCCCCATAAGCCTCCGCTATGTGAAGGTGCAGTCTTGACATGAGGGTTAGGAAAAGTGAAGCATTCAAGGCTGATATGTCTATCTAAACAGTGGTATGCATCTTGATATGTCTATCTAAACAGTGGTATGCATCAGTGGAGTGCCCCCCTCGACCCTAAAGCGATAGGCTAGGTAGTGTGAAGGTGAGTATGCTGAATTAGCTATCACGTCTCAGGTATGTACTGCATTTTTAAGGTGTATCCCAGAAGCATGTTAGTGGTACATAGTAAGCTATACCAGAGGAACACTAACCCCTAAAGAGAGTCTCGGTGTGTTAGTGTATACGACCCAGCAGCAGGCTCATGCACTGGTCAGCCAGCCAGCCTGCGCCTCCTGGTAGAGGGCTGGTGTGTCTGTGGCATGTCAGTCTCAGCCAATGCCCCGCTTGTGTTGGTGTGCCACAGCTGGGGTGGGCGGCAGTTCTAAG